AAAATACTCTGAAACCAGCAGCTGACCTGAGCTGTGACTCACTGTCTGATCACTCTTTCTCTCTGACACTCGCACACACACTCAAATACCATGTGGACAGAGTTCAGCCTATTAAGTAGCGGTGGAGTGAGTAAAGTGGTGTGCGATGAATAAGAGAAGAAGGTGGTGGACTGTTGTGATGAAGCGCACAGCAGGGGCTGCAGGGCCTCTGTACTGTACGGTATCTCGCTATAGGTTTCCCTTACTCACAGCGGCTACCGAGGAGAGAATTACCACGAGGCCAAAGAAATGCAGGAACCTGCTTGAACCTCGGAAAAAAACAGTTCAATTGCCTTTTGTACTTTTATGAGAATTAATACAGTTGCATATGTCAGTCACGATGTTCCTCAAAGCCACAAAAAAAGGAAATATGGTGACGCTAGAACGAGGAGACAAGGGAAAATAGCTAGCCGGGTCTTTTCTACACACCAGATCAAAAGCTCACTAGCAAAGGTTTTATATTGCGGGTTAACGTGTACAAATCTTTTTCTTGATTCGCTTCTATCCTCCAAGAAGTCCTGTGCAGTTGGGTTGAGCTTTAGTTGACTGGTAACCAACTCGCAAGTGAGCGCTCGTGCCTGTTGTTCGATGCAGTACGTGACTCCTACATGGAGGCCAGCTGTATCCCACTGCTTCAAGCTACAGTGCATCCGGAGAGTACTCACAGCGCTTCACTTTTCCCACATTTTGTTATTTTACAGCCTTATTCCCAAATGGATTAAATTCATTATTTTCCTCAACATTCTACACACAACAACCCATAATGACAAAGTGAAAACAGTTTTTTGCAGATTTTTGCAAATCTGTTAAAATAAAGAACGAAAACATAGCATGCACATAAGTATTCACAGCCTTTGCCATGACACTCAAAATGTAGCTCAGGTGCATCCTGTTTCCACTGATCATCCTTCAGATGTTTCTACACCTTGATTGGAGTCCACCTGTGCTAAATTCAGTTGATTGGACATGATTGAGAAAGGCACACACCTGTCTGTACAAGGTATCACTGGTGACAGGTGCATATCAGAGCATAAACCAAGCCATGAAGTCCAAGGAATTATCTGTAGACCTCCAAGACAGAATTGTACCGAGGCACAGATCTGGCGAAGGGTACAGAAAGATTTCTGCAGCATTGAAAGTCCCAATGAGCACAGTGGCCTCCATCATCCGCAAATGGAAGAAGTTTGGAACCACCAGGACTCTTTCCCCTCCCAGCCAGACTGAGCGATCGGGGAGAAGGGCCTTAGTCAGGGAGGTGACCAGGAACCCGATGGTCACTCTGACAGAGCTCCAGCATGGTTCTATGAAGAGAGGAGAACCTTCCAGAAGGACAACCATCTCTGCAGCACTCCACAAATCAGGCCTGTTTGGTAGAGTGGCCACTTAGTAAAAAGCACATGACAGCCCGCCTGGAGGACTCTCAGACCATGAGAAACAAAATTCTCTGGTCTGATGAAACAAAGATTGAACTCTTTGGCCTTAATGCCAAGCGTCATGTCTGGAGGAAACCAGGCACTGCTCATCACCTGGCCAATACCATCCTTACAGTGAAGCATGGTGGTGGCAGCCTCATGCTGTGGGGATGTTTTTCAGCAGGAGGAACTGGGAGACTAGTCAGGATTGAGAGAAAGATGAATGCAGCAATGTACAGAGACATCCTCGATGAAAAGATGCTCCAAAGCCCTCTGGACTTCAGACTGGGGCGACGGTTCATCCTCCAACAGGACAACGACCCGAAGCACACAGCCAAGAGAACAAAGGAGTGGCTTCGGCACAACTCTGTGAATGTCCTTGAGTGGCCCAGCCAGAGCCCTGACTTGAAGCCGATTGAACATCTCTGGAGAGATCTGAAAATGGCTGTGCACCGACGCTCTCCATCCAACCTGATGGAACTTGAGAGGTTCTGCAAAGAAGAATGGGAGAAACTGGCCAGAAATAGATGTGCCACCCTTGTGGAATCACATCCAAGAAGACTTGAGGCTGTAATTGCTGCCAAAGGTGCTTCAACAAAGTATTGAGCAAAGGCTGTGAATACTTATGTACATGTTATGTTTTCGTTCTTTATTTTAACAGATTTGAAAAAATCTGCAAAAAACAGTTTTCATTATTTTATGTGTAGAATGTTGAGGAAAATAATGAATTTAATCCATTTTGGAATAAGGCTGTAAAATAACCATGTGGAAAAAGTGAAGCGCTGTGAATACTTTGCGTATGCACTGTATATTCTATTGACAGGCAGCTCTGATTTATGTCACAACATACCTTTACAATGGCCAGAAATACAAAATAAAGATCTTAAGGACATTCATGGAAAGTACGATATAGCTCAAGTGCAAGAATATTAACTAAAAATATCATCATAATTCCCTCCAAGGCGCAGCTTAATAAATGGGCCACCGCCACAAGTGTCCACAGCAGATACAGTACAAAAATAAACACATGAATCCTGAGAGTAGCAGCAACTGTACGTTGTATTCTGGCAGACTGATGCAAGCCAGAAACTGAAAATGGGGAGCGCTCCAAATAAAATGCGTCCCACTTAGGTTGCATATATGCAAGTATTTTACCACAGAGCTCCATGGATGTCTGATGTATAAATTACCACAAATAGTACTCCAGACATCACTGTGTTCTTTTGTATTTGGGTCTATTAGCGCCTACTACAACATTAGCCTTAATCCAAGAACACGCATACAAAAAAGAAAGTTCCAAATAGTCCACATGTGCCCCAAATCCATGGAGGAAGGCGCAAACACAACACACGCACATGCACGCTCACGCTCCCCGACCGGGAACACATCTGCCCTGTAAGAGACCTAGAGTAGGACATTGCCAGCTGGCTTTGTTTCAGTTTAACCCCCCCCCCCCCCCCCGGGATTGGTTCTCCCACAGGCCAAATATGGAAGAGACGCGTACCGCTGTCTACCCCAATGGGACAGTGCACACACAGACGCACACATTCTCACAGATGGCCACACGAACACTAAAGTGCAAAGTAGGAGCAAAAGCATTAGCCTTATGTGGTCACAAGGTGGCCAGTACTTAAGTCAAAGCGATATCAACCAGCACATCTATGGTAACTATGGAGACTACGGACATACTGTGTGTGTGCGTGTGTGTGTGTGTGTGTGCGCGGTTGTCTGGTGGTGCGAGTCTTGGATTCAGGAATATCCCTTTCTGGTTCTTTCACCATGACAACAGAGAAAGTTCAAAGGTCAGAGCAGCCGTGGTTAATCCAGTGGATCATCTGAAACTGGAAAGCTGGGAGAGAGACTGATTAAGGGAGTGGGTGGAAGTGGGCGAGAGAGATTCTTTCTACTGTGAGAGAGTGAGAGTGAGATGGAGAGAGGGAAGGAGAGAGAGAGATCTGCTCAGATGAAAGAAATGTGGGGGAGTGTTCAGCAGAGAGGAAGCAGCTCTGTCATTTGCTGGTTGTTGAGCAACGCGTTTCGGAAATTTGATGTTACAATTAACCATTGTGACCACAATTGTGACCCCGTACAACGAAGGGAGACAGACTCATGAACACGACATGGTCATCACTCCCGCCAACTGGAGAGCCAACGTCAGCAGCCATAATGGCAAATATTAAGCTTAATTAGCTTAATATTTCCTGCTCGATAACAAATGTTGTGAGTTTATGTTCCCTCTCAAAGACAACTCAACTTTACCTTCTACATTAGTATCAGTATAGATAGATAGATAGTTCAGTATATGACACTAAATTGCCTTTTATTGAGCATTTTGAGGAGAACAGAGTTGTTGAGTTCCAAATGAGTGATGGAGTGAGTTCAGCTGCTATTGCTTCTACCATGGAGCAGAGCTAATATTAGCAGCTAATATTATCAGCTAATAGCAAGCTAACCTAATAATTTCGGCTGAATCACAAATCAAAAACACAAATGTCATCAGCTGCTGTCTTTAGAATCCTCTCAGAACGGATGTACACAGTTAAATACAGTGTACTTGGGTACATGAGTCTAACATACTCAACAGCCTTCTATTAGCAGCTCATAAAAGCCACATGATTTCTGTTCAATTGCAAAACAAAATGTTTTTCCGCTAACGTTTCCGTCTTCTCCGAATGAATTAACACCTGCACACAGCTTTATACAGTATAGTTGAATTATGAGGCAAGCGTAGTGCACAGAAAAACAGACACATCTGCTCTACCACCTGATGCAGTCGGAAGAGCTATTGATTAGATATTGATTAAACATGCCCGGATTACATTAATGGTGTGATGAAAAATCACCATCAAGATTCCACCTATTGATTGATGAATACTTTAGATAGCACAGACATTCTTATCTTCAGGATTTATTGTGTCCAGCAAATTAATCTTCTGACGGAATATTTGTTATTTAAATTAGTAAACTTCACTCAGTGGAAAAACTCTCTCTTCACTCTGAAGGAAAGCAGAGTGCAGTAGACCACTTCTGTTTTTGCAATTGTATTTTTATGCAACATTATACATTATAATTGCAGTGGGATGTGATTGATTTTCTAAATAAGGTTTTGTACCTCATGGAATAACACAACTTGGCATTAAAAGACAAAGATGTCACAAGATAGTGTGAAACTTCATGTTCTTATTTAACAGACTGTGTGTAGAAAGCAGACAAATTTAATTTCTTTCTAATTTCTAATTGAATTTACTGAATTTTAGAAGAAAAAACATGATAAATTCAGTTGATTCTGAAATTCTTGCGTCATATTCAGAGTAATGTAACTCTGTGAACTCAAGTAAAGCATTTAGAGCGGATGTGCGTGTTGTACAATAGTGTGCATATATGTCTGCGTGTGTGCACGTCGGCATGCATCTCATGTCAGTGGACATTTTATGAGTAAAGGAATTTAAATGTCTTAGAGTATCCACGCACGTTGTGCATACTGACCACTGAAGAGTACACTACATACATTACAATTTAGTAGCATCCCGAGCTTCTTTCGGCTCTCACCATTTGCACTAGTGTCCTTTCTTCTGTGGGATGGATGGCCAGGGCTTCGTCATACAGGCCTTTGGCGTCGTCGAGTTGGCCCCGGAGCTCGGCCAGGCGGCCCCGCTGCAGCAGCACTGAGTACGAGTTGGGAGAGACCGAGCCGGCCTCGGCTATGCAGAACTGGGCCTCCTTTAGCCGTCCGTCCCCCATGAACAACTCCCCTGAGGAGGGGGATAGAGAAATAGTTACAAGGGGTTATTAAGGTGATACAGAGAAGAAATAAAGGAACAGAGTGACAGAGATGACTCAACTTTGAGTTCAGCAGGATTAAGTCACAATGTAAACTGGGCAGCATTCAAATACAAACACAAAAAACACGCAGACACACACACGCACACACGCATGCGCGTATTCATACACGCACGCACTCAAAGACCATTAAAGAGAAAGTGGGAGCGCCTGGGAAGTCATGAAAGTCTTGCCTAAATATGGCCATCGCATACTAAGCTGCCTGCCTCCTTTCTTTGCTGCAACTGGGAAGAAGACGACTCACATCCACACAGAAACACACACACACACACATACACACCATCACGCCTACAATACTGTCATTGTCCATTGGACACAGAGCTGACCAGAAGGCCCGCCCCTGGGACCGGAGAAGACCAATATCTGGAGGGTTGCTGTCAATCACTTTCATGAGTGGACGCCAGGTCAACACCCAGAGAAAACCCTTCGAAAGAAGCTCTTCAGCTCCAAACACCGTGTGCATTATGGGGCAAGAGAGGGAGGGAGCGCGTGGGACAAAGATATATGTGGTACGTGCCGTCTGCTCCTCAGCGCCATGTGAGCCCATGTGTGCTTTTGGTAGTGGATGTTTTTGTTTAGCTGTGTCTCATAGTTGCACAGATGGGAAATACTTAGTGAGTGCATTCTGCCGGCAAGATGAAAAAGAGCCATTTCCCAGCCTCCGGGTCCTTTTTTCCATGGCTTCACTTGAGGGAAAAACCTATTCAGTGAATGCTCCCTGGTTATGTAAGGCTTTTTTTGTCCTCCTCACCTAAGCTCTCGGCACTAATGAATAAATCACAGTGTACGCATATGCAGTTTGTTTTTACGTTTGCAGGTATGCGCCTGTGATTATGTGCATCTAAAAATGCCCCCTGTGTTGTTTTTTTTCGCCGACTAGGATGTGAGATTGAGAGAGGAAGTGACCGATGGGGAGAGGAATGCTTGGAGTCAGGGGAGATTGTTGGGTGCAACAGGGCTCGGCCTTGAAGACCCGCCCCTGCACTTCGACACACACACACACACACACACACACACACACACACACACACACACACACACACACACACACACACACAATTGGGTCTGAAGCAACAGCGGACACATTCTATTTTGCCAGTTCTCAGCAGAGGAATATCAGAGGTCAAAGGTCAGACATGGAAAATAAACTTCCAATTACACTAGGCAGCAGGGGAAGTGACCCCAGGGCCCCTCAGCCCATCCCGCCCTGTACTGTACAAACTGGTATTTCGGCTGCATAATTTGCTTCACTCTCAGCTGTATGGATTCCCTTTGCCGTTGTCATGCCTCATCCACTCCGGCCGAGAAGCAGCTCTGCACTCCCTTTATTTCCCGCTGATGCTCTGCTCTCATGTAAACTTCCGCGGGCAGACTGAGGCTGAAGGGGTGGAAGTAATCGCCGTATGCATCACTGCCGCTCTGCCCTTAATAGCACAGTGGCCACATGTACGCAGGTACAGAGCGCGCGCTCACATAAAGTATGCACTTAACTGAATTGTTAAAATTTTTGTCGAAAATTAGTCCAGTAATCACAATTATTTAGGCCGTTTTACACGGCAAACAAGGTTACACACTTTCCAGCACGTATACTGTGGGCAACCCGGAGAGAATTTCTGTGACTGCAGTGCTCAGAATGTGAAAGAAAAAGTGTGCTCCCATTGTACCGAGTGCATAAACGATATCTCACTCCCCAGAGAGATTAAAATTCAACCAAGCTTGTAAGCAGGTCAACAAGCTGCGTAAGACAGCTTCCACAGCGGCATCTGCACAGCACACTGTGTGGAGAAGACTCTCCCTCAAAAGTTGCCATTTCATATTCTACATTTATTCTAGTTTAATCTGGATTTGTTTAAAGGTGCAGGAATCCAAACCCTCTGTTTGTGTTGTATTTTGAGCTTCTCTGTGCTTTGTTGACAAATCCGGTCCGGCTGCTCATACCAGTAAGACGATTGGTGTGGCCATGCTGATCATCGGTTACTGATCATAACGCTGTTAGTTCTGTCAGCACTGTTGTTTACACAACAATGGACTCACAAGTCTTCAGTCATGTACCACACTTCTGTGTTATTGCTCTGTGAGCGAACCCGTCAACCCGTATGGAGGAGACTTACTGTAAAAGGCCAGAAAAGCAGTAAAGATTTAAAAAAAAACCCAATCAATGTTCATCTTCACAGAGAAAATAAAGGTTTCCCAAATTTCATTTAATACATTTCCGTTGGTAGATTTTTTCCAGCATTTGAGTTTGAAAAGTTTGTAATTATTGCTTAAAAGAATATACAAATGTGACCACAAGTTGTGGTGTTTGAACGTATTTGCTTTGGTTGCTCGACCAAATTTGTCAGCCTGAGTGTAAACTGTTTTTAAAATGTGATGTCAGAGTGGAACAAATGTGTTTAAACAATGTCTTGCCCAAGGACACGTTGTCACGCCTGTTTAGCAGGGCCTGGGATCAAACTGCCAAACTTCTGATTGGCAGGCAGCCGTGTGCTCCACTCACCCCATGTTACACAGCGAATGCTTCGGTGTGCATGTGTCGATCAAACCCACCGGCTAATAAAAGTGTTCATATACGAATGCATGGCCACAGGCGCACGATGGGATGCTGCCGTTAGCATGTATCTAACGCCTTGCATGTACATACCAGCCTGCAGCCAAATGCGTTCTAGGGTGGTCCAGATGTAAGTGGGTCCATGGCGACGCACGGAGCTGAGGTCCGACACCTCCGAGAGCGCAGCCTCCAGACGAGACACTGCAACCGATGAAGGGCTCAGAGAACCTGTGGAGGGGCGAGGAGCAATATTCTGTCCCAGATGCGCAGTAAAACATTTAATTGAGAAATCCTTCAAATATGAAAGAAGGGACAAAAAACTGTCATTCCATGTGGAGCGTGTTCATTTTCTTTTCCTTTGGTGTGTTGGTGAAGAGTGTCAATATAGTAGTGTAAACAACTATATTCAGATAGTCGGAAATAACACCGTACGACACTGTGGATGTCACATATAAAAAAACAAACATATTTAGCCTATAAGTTTAGAAGAGGTGCACACTTAGATGGAATGTAGGAAGTATAAGAAAGAGCCTCACAGTAAATCAGAATAGAGGCCACAAGACTGGAGATTGTGCATAGTAGCTTTTCTGGAATTTGAAACTTATACGTTTAACTTGTATACGTTTGGACACGAGCCTCTTTTTTGCCCTCTGCTCCGAAAATGGCCCACTTATGATGCTATATGAATTAAGTGCTATAATGTGTAACAATCAGTTTATATGTTACTGTTATAATAATAATAATATACCAATATTATGGTACTGGTTTTGACCTGGTTCTGGCTTGTTTAGGCCCCATTTGGGGTCCTCTCGTTTCCAAAGGGATAAGAGAAGAGGACGAAGCGATGATGTATTGTACAGTTTGTTGGTGGTTCTTGAGCGGATGCGTAGAGACAGCAGTGGTCTCTGGACTGTGAAAGCTCAAGTGACCTCTGTATCACAACTTATATTTCATTAAAACCACTTTATTATAACGTAACAAATCCTGGAGTTCTTTGTCCCAGCCTAAAGGTTTTTTAAACACGAGTTAATATCCGGAACATCAATAGATTTTCGGATAGAGCAAACCCCCGAGACCCTGCTGGAAACGCAGGTGAGGAACTTTATTCTGCCAAAGATCAAATACTGGGGGATTGGGACTGACTCACATTTTCACCTTTCATGCACAAATATATCCAACAAAAGAGAGAGAGAGAGAGAGAGAGAGAGAGAGAGAGAGAGAGCAGACCAGTCGAGGCGTCCTGGAAGTTGGGCAGGGTCAGGTGGATGGAGGGTTTCCTGGGTCCAGGGCTGACCTCGGTCCGCTCGGCCATCGGTATGCTGCTGCTGTCATCTGTCTCACTGCCGGGTGTACAGCACAATCAAATTATTGTTTTATTTAAATGTAACACACCCCCAATTTTACAACCACTGTGCTATTTGTTTTATATTGTAATTGAGAAAGGCTAATCCTTCTATAGTATCGTTGTTTTGGTTTAGCATTATCTAAGGATCCAGCTGACCATCTCTCCATTGAATACATTTATGTTGAAAATATTCCCCTATTTGGGTCGTGGCTTGTCATTAAGTTGTGTGGTGGGGAACCGCTGCCTCAAAAGATGAAACCTGATCATCATGAGGAAATATCTTGTATGTTTTCATGCAAAGCTTGTGCTCTGGAAACCTGTAAATGTCATATACATGTTGTAATTATATATTTTTAGTGTACATTCAGGGTTCCTGTTGTGCAGAGAGGGTGATCGGCTGCAATCTGCCGTCCCTCCAGGACTTCGCTTCTAGGTCCCTTAAGCGAGCCAGAAAGATGGTAGCCGACCCCTCTCACCCCGGACAAAAGCTGTTTGTGCCCCTTCCATCTGGCAGGAGGCTGAGGTCCATCAGGACCAAGACCTCCCGCCACACCAACAGCTTCTTCCCGTCGGCAGTCGGGCTCATCAACAGAGCCCGGTCCCCCTCTGACTGACTCTGATATCCCACCGGTCACTTTCTTCACACTCCACACGCACATACACTTGTCACTTTCTCTTCACTGCTGCACTTTATTTTTAACTTTTTAACTTTTTTTACTTTTAGTCCTTTATTTTTAAAGTAACCCATAGCTGTCAGGTCAAGTTGGGGTTTTTCTTGTCTCCATGTTTTGTCTGTCATTTCCTGTTTTATTTTGAAAGATTAACCTTCCTCTCGTTTCAGGTCACTTGCCCCTCCTCATGTGTCACCAGCCGAATTGTCGTCCCTGATTCCTGATTGTCTCCACCTGTTTCCCATTGCCCTCATGTGTCTGATAGTCTGCGTCTCCCTTTGTCTTGTGCCGGAGTGTTCCGACCATTCGTCTACCCAAGCCTGCCACCACAGACACAGTGCCTCGTCTCGTCTCGCCTCGCCTCGCCTCGCCTCGCCTCGCCTCCTTACGAGGGAATTTTTGTTTATCAGTTCTCTTAAGAATGACCTTGAGCCTTTTTATAGCATTTTGGGTTTTCCTCCTAATGGAGCGATTGATCTTTTTTCAGATTTTGTTAATAGGTTTCCTATAGGTTTATTTTTTATAGCTGCTTATTTCCTCATCCAGTGTGGGAGAGCCTAATAAAGACGGCCTATTCTGTTCACCCTTCTGCTCCTGAGTCCTCTTTTAAGTCCAGGTCTGACAATAGCCCTAAACAAACCCATAAGCATTATATTTTATTATATTTTATTTCTCTTGCACTATGTTGTCTTGTTGTCAACCGCCAAGTCAAATTCCTTGTATGTCTGACATATTATGGTCATAAATGTTTCCTGATTCCTAATGATGAAAAATGTACAACCTTCCTTGTTCTTGTTCCATATCAGTTTCACCATCTAAGATGTGACAACTTTAAAGCTCAACGTCTCGAAACTGCTCTCATGGAACACCACTATTCACGGTCCGAGCTGAAACCTAAACAAACACAAGAAACAAGACCGTCCACATTCCGATCTCCTCTGCGCAGACTCACCTGGAGCGGCTGACATCATAGCGGCTCAACCACTGTTGCAGCATCTCTTCACAGGTCCGCAGAGCTGCCGCCGGTCCGAAAAGGGCCTCTTCTAACTTCACCTTTGTGAACAGCAGACTAGAGCATGAACACACACACACACACACACACACACACACACACACACATTACTCCTCTTTGTTTACTCTTTTTGGGTTCGTTCATGTTTTTATTGCCACATCACAAACTTGTTTTTGTTCCCGTACGGACATGAAACTGTAAAAAGGTTATCATGCAGGAGTATTTATGAGGGTCCAAACCTGTTCTTATTATCACCGACCACATTAGCTTCAATGTAAATGTCTTCAGTGAAAAGAATAACAACACTGCAGGTGTACAATGAACTTTTATTAGTTGTCATTGTCTAGTAATGAAAGCTCGGATGACCGACTTGCAGTCTGTAATCCTCAAGTTGCATTTTACATCCACGTCACGGTACATCAGTTTACAATCTTATCCTATCAGATCATCATAATCAGCATAATCAGCATATCGTTCTTTGTCACAGTCTCGTCTTGGCTTCGTGCCTTTGTTTGTTTTCCCACCTTGGTGATCGTCTCTCGTCAGCCCTTCCTGATCAGGCCCTGTTTACACCACCAGTTCCTTCATCATTTGTTCGTCTACACGTCTGTGCCTTTGTCCATCGCCGCTGTTTCCTGCCTTATAGCTCGTCGGCTTGCATTCAAATTAAATCATTACATGGTTTCTGCTGCCTCTTCATCTTTGTCTGCAGCCGTGTCCTGCTCTAAAACCATAACAAATTCTAGAGTTAGGGCCAGTTACATGATCTGTGAGGTCTGTTATGTTCAGAAAGCCTTTAGGCTAAGGAAGAACAACACTGGGAACAGTTGTAACAAAGTGGTTTTGATCAAATATATGTTGTGAAACGGAGGTTTCTTGAGCATTCGCAGTCCACAGTCTGTCTATGCATCCGCTCCGTTGATTTACAGTGAGGCCTCCTTTCTAATACTCCCCACATTCCATGTAAGCATTCATCACTTCTAAACTTTAGGCTCAATACGGCTTTGTTATGCGTTGCTGACGGATACACAATGCCAAAAGTGTCACTGTGTGGGGTTGTTTCCTGTTTTATTTTGTAGTTTCCTGCCTCGTGGTACCTGGGTTAGCTTCACCGCCTGTGATTGTCTCCCGTGTCCATGATTGTTTCCACATGTGTCCAATCACCTGCACCTTCCCACTGTATTTAAACCATGTGTGTCTGTTGTCGCTCCATTGTATGTGTTCCCCATGTCGGTGTGTGTTTATGTTACTGCGTTTTCCCCCCTGGGCTTTCTGATTTTGGTAATTAAACTATTTTTGTGCTTGAGTCTGTGTTTGAGTCCGGCTTCCGCCCCCCTGATGTGACGATAAGACTGTCCGTCCATGTTGTTTCCAACTCTTTAAGTGCTGTAATCAGGTCACAGCGACCTCGAGTTCTGACCACAAAACGCTAGTCAGGGTCCCTTGAGTCTGTTTCGCAAAAATGTAGTGAAATTCTCTCAAGGCGATCCTGAGACATCCCGAGAGGGGCCAGGACGTGATGTTGTTACTCTCCGCTCTGGTACGTTGGCCGTTGTGTCAAATTTGAAGAAATACCCTGCAGCCCTTCTGTAGATCTCATGAGCACGGGATGGATGTGAGTCACAGTGGCCTTGACCCTTAATCACTAGTCTGGGTGGAGGCTTGTACCCAATTCTAATCAATTCTCTCAGCAGTTGCCGAGGTACTGAGTGCACACGAGAATGGGCCTGCAAAACGGACAACCTGGAAACACAACGCCTCAGGTTACGGTCGTTACCGGAGCGACGCCCCTAGAAACCGGCTGATGTCGACGGCAATCACAAAGACGCATACACACATGCGCACTTGCATATACGCGGTTTTGTCGTGCGTGCGTGTGTGTGTGTGTGTGTGTTTCCCCATTAGCTGTGTTAAGTGCTCAGGACCCGTCGACGTCTCACTGAGGCTCAGTCGGATCGATGCGAACACGAAGTGGGTCAAGATAGTCATCAACAACCACTAAGAGTCCATCTAAGTGTTTCCGCTCTGAACCTTTTTAGTTGAAGACAACTGGTTAAGTGATATGGGAGTCTCAGATGTGACGGTGTGTGTGTGTGTGTGTGTGTGTGTGTGTGTAGTAATTGCCAGAAGGGGCTCTCAGAGGATCCCGTCTGTCATAGGCATCACTCATCCATGAGAGAGAGGCACAGAGAACACGGGGTCGGCCACATCTGAGGCCCGTCTGCCTCGCTGTCCTGTCCACCGCCCCTCTGTTGTTGAAGCCCCCTGCGGTTCCACGAGGAATAGAGGGAAGGTTGGAGGGAGGTGGGGTGGGATCAATAGACAAGCTTGAAGGGGGAAAACTCTCTCGTAGCCCGGTTAACGATTCACAGGTCGGTGGGGGATTTGGGGGGAAGGGTATGAGGAGATGATGGAGGCGTGTTGGAAGAGGAACAAATTGAAAGTGTACCTGCGTGTGTGTGTGTGTGTGTGTGTGTGTGTGTGTGCGCATGTGTGGGAGGAAGGGGTTGGATTTTCTGACAGCGGATGACAGGCGCCGCCGAGGGACGCTGTGTTAAGGATACGCCTGCCAGCAGGGGTCCACCAGAGTGTGTGATTGTGTCCTCCAGACTACCCATTACCGGTGTGGCGCAGCATTTAGAAGCAGCGCGACGTGTTAACCCATCCCGGTGTTGAGAGGTGACGACAAGGTGTGTGTCTGTGGGGGGTAGGTGTAGATCATGCGTGCAAAGAAGTGACTTCTCTCATGATTAGACTGGAACACTGTAATCGCACCTCTGGTATTATAGTTTAACAGAAACAATCGTGTCAAAAAGCAGAGGGTACGAGCACGTAGACTTTGGGCAAGAAATATCTCAGCTCAAGAGCACGATGTTGGGAAAACTCATTAGTGATGTGCAGCTGAAGTCGGTTCACTTATAATAGACTAGATTCTTTACCATGGCAACAGCTCAAGGGTATTGTAATATGTACAGCCTGAAATAGCTGAAGGACATCAACCAATATGCTTATTGGGTGAAAGTCCAGTGTTTCTACGTTAAAGGAACCGTGTGAAGCATTTAGTGGGATCAATTGTCAGCAGTTTGTTTTCTTAAGTGTAGAATAATCACCTGAAAATAAGTGATTTCTTTTCGTTAGCTTGGAATTAGCTGCTTATATTTCCTTCTACTGCTTCAAGAGTAGCTTACAACAGTGTTACAGCTTACAACTTGTGTTGTCACGTTTTTGCTTTGGCCTTCGTGGGAGATGTTGTTTGCAATCTGCAGCCTCCCCGCTGGATGCGGCCAAAACGCTTTAAGTCTTCATGCGACATTCAGGATTTTGTTCAAAGAAAAAATTGAAATGGTAAAATAAAATGGAGAAAGAACACTTCCGTAATAATAATACTAATAAAGGAGAGTTAACAGTATTGTCAGCTGGCAAATCAGTAATCTGAATAGTTTGTAAAATAAGATCATTTTAAAATCTGGAAAAATCACAGTTAAAGAAAAAAAACTTTTATAGTCAATAATTTAAAGAAGTTAGGCAACTATTTGATTTCCAACTACTTTGGAATGAAATGACATATTCAAAGCAACTTGAGTAGTACAAATAGTGTTCATTCTGTACATTGTATTAAACAATAGAAAATAGAACTGTTATGCACCTTGTTGTTCACCGCACACAGACGGTGTTTTCCCTCGCAGATCCACAAATGGATTTCACTTAAAAACGACACACCATTTAAAAAAATATGTCATTTCCATTCTCCTGTGAAGTGAGCCGTGTGTGTGTGTGTGTGTGTGTAAAGGGAGCGCACGTCGTTTGAGGAGGAACGCAGAACGCGCGGCGGTGGCTCAGCTCAGAGTGTCAGCGTAAACTCCATATAAAAATAGCTAATAATGTTCCCTTGAAAAAGTGGTACATCTACAGTACTACTCATCCTGCACGCCCACAGAGCAGAGTGTGGATTCTCTACAGGCAGATGGCCGCTCGCCGACAAACACACACATACCACGGCAAAATAGACGTGTGCATATATAGTGTATACACAATGCATGCATAGATTAAGATTAAAACCAACGCGTCTGAGGTGACTTGCTTTGTGTAGCAGGGCATAAACCAGGCAAGCATGTGGACGCTAATACTCACACTTGCACAGATGCACACGTGCACACGTGCACAAACACACTTGCTCATGCTGCAACATCTCGTTAGATGAATGCAGAATCAAAGGGCCGGATTAATCATTCTCTTTAATACAAACTGCAAGAGTCTGTTTCTCTCACACACACACACACACACACACACACAACCCTCCCCCCTCTCTCTGTCTTGCCTCAGCTCTCTCAATCTGCAGCAGAATCCTGTTTCACATCGAACTGCATAAGTGTTTTACTAGGTGATTAAAATCTCAATGAAAAGAGAGAAACGGAGAGATGAGGCAAGGGGAGAAGGAGAGTGAGAGGGAGAGGGGGAGGAGAGGGAGAAGTAAGAGAGAGGGACAGCTAAAGAGGGAGAAAAAGAGAAAGAGGGGAGAGAGACAGGAGCCGGGGGAGAGGATGAGGGAGAAAAGAAGGAAAGAGAAATTCAGAGTGCTACAGTGAGCTGACAGTTTGCTGCGGTGCAGAGACGCAGCGGCTAACAAGAATCACACACATGCATGCACAAACACACACACACACACACACACACACACACACACATGTATGTGCCAGATTACAATCTGGCACACATGTAGACAAGTACACCCACGGACCCCCATCCCCTCCACACAAAACGCGCACACACAAACAACAACAAGCACGCGACTGTCGCAGCATGTCCAGCACCAGGCACAGAGCAAGCTTTGGTCTGCAACACACATCCAGAGGAAATGATATTCAGTGAGCTTGTTACTGAGAGAATACACCTCCTTTGACTACCTCGCTCTCTCTCTCTCTCTCTCGCCGTCCATCTCTCTGTCTCGATCTCTCATTCTCCGACACCTCGGCCTCAGCCCGACGGTTCCACAGGGTACTGATGCATTCCATGTGCATGTTGTGGGTTTCAGTTGTATATTATTTGATGATATTGTTTGAAATAAAATGTTGCAATCAAGTATTTTCTAAGTAATTTCTATCAGCTGTGCTCTCCGTCAGTTGAGTTCTATTCTATTAATATGGATTTTCTGCGTACTGTTATCAACTCAACTCAACTAGATGTTTGCGTCACCACTAGATGTGTAACAATGTGGACGGTGTGTCATGCAGAGTTTATTTTTACCGGCTCAAAATAGCCATTTTAAATATTTGACTCACTATTACTTAACACTGTTGTACAGTGTTGTTCTTCTCGAATCGAGGCAAAGTTGCGGCTCATCTTTCGATGATAAAAGCTGCCTTTTTGCTAATGGCTAATGTGTTAGCAAACATTTGCTCAACTACAAACACAGCATTAATAGCACTAATTAGAGTTGTGCTTCTGGTCACCTCAGCAATGAAAGTAAAATATTTACTCCTCTTATTGCCCTGTCTTGGTCTCCAACATCTCCTGAGGGAGATATTCAGCTAGCAAGCACACATGCGCAATTAGCAGCTAAAAAGAGCAGCATTGTCTATTTGGTGTCCAAACGGTTTATTCCTCCTCCAGCAGGAAACAAGGCTGATCAGATTGAACAAAGGTAAAAAATGAGATAAGACACTACATTAATTACCCATGGATGATTAAATAGGCCTCCAATAATGATCTAATATACGTTGATAAGCTGCAGAGCTGAGGAGAAATACAATGTCTGAATGATTATTGTTGATTTCCATCGTAATATAGAAAATGTTGATCAGCACAATCAATATGATCGACTATCATGGTATACTCATAAATGCATCAGTGAGAGGTGGGTGATTTTCAATGCTACGATATGACGTTTCCAGTAATAGTCACAGTTCGGTGAAGTAGGAGACAAAGCTGCACTCAAACCAGCCTTTGAGAGGATGAAGAAGCGTGTCAGTTGTGGGTCCCACGCCAGCTGGGCCCAAAGAAATTGGGCCAGGTCAGGGTAAGTTTAACGTTTCAGGCCTGTGCAGCACTCCACTCCACTGTCTCTCTCCGGCTTTCAGATGGCTCAGGGCAAATATGTTTTATGAGCATGACAGGCCAACAAAATAAAAGAAAGATCAATGAAGCGTAGAGGTAATGCAGTAAATTGACATTCAGTACAAATTCACTTTTGTTCAGCTGTTTATAGATCTGCATCTCTCCTGACCACTGACTAAATATCTGTTGACCAATCCATAACAACAGAACAACAACTGATGATGCCTGCTCTACCCATACGACCTCATGGTTACCGCGGCGATGGGGATTCCTGGGGCAGAGAGCGACGTGATTGGCCGAGCCCAGAAAAGAGCTCTTAAATGGGTCAAAGCAGTCAAGTGTCTCCATGGAAGAGGTGTGTGTATGTGTGTGTGTGTGTGTGTGTGTGTGTGTGTGTGTGTGTGCGCGCGCGTGTCTGTGACTAATTGTGTGATTTGGAGACAGCACAGATTTCATCTTCCAATTATCATTATAGCGCGGATCAGTAATCATGAAGCCATCGTCTTCTCCTGCACCCACCCACTCCGTCTCTGGGTTCTCTTCCCCTTCCCGTCGGGCTCTTACAGTCTTCCCCCCCTTCATTTGTTTCATCACCTTTCTTGCTTTTCTGCATTTCTGCTCTTTTCCTCTCTCTCCTGATGTTTGGATGCACCCATCTGTGTGTACCAGGACCGTGGAGGCCAACACTGACCTCAAATGGCTGTGTTATGAAATGCTTTGCCGGGTAGAGAAAACACATCAGAAATATGATGCAATGCACCTCCATAATATGGTTAAAATAACTGGCTGGATAAAGTTTTTACTTCCCTAGATGTCAGAGATTTCACTATAAATGTTTTGATCACGATGACGAACTTTGAGAGACAACGCAAGCATCTGAAACAGAGAGTTGGGCCTGTGCAGCTGCTGATCTGCCTTTCATTTTTTTATTTGAAGCTGGATTCTTATTAGAATTTCATGTGACATGTGACGAAACGTCTGAGGAAATTTTGTTGAAAAGCAACCTTTGGTAGAATGGATTGCATGTATTTATTGATATGTATAGCAATATAAAATCTATATCCTTTTTACTAATTCAGATATTCTTTGAAAATGTTAAACTTGGTCAAATATAACGCATTGAACAACACTATGAGAATGGAGGCGAAATTGTGGATTGATAGTAAGAGAAACCATAACTGCTGCAATGGGTCTCGAAAACGGCAAAGGCTACCTGCCTTACATTCAGTATGACTTTCAGTGTGTTTTATCTTGTTTAGAGCAGCACACAGAGGGCTTTAAGTGTCTGGACTTCTCCGTTCTGTCAGGAAAGCGGCGCTCAGGTCAGAGCTGCAGTATTGAAAAGGACAACAGTGTTTGAGGGGATCAGGCAGCGTAACACAGGCCTCTGCTGTAAAATACAAAAGCACATCTAACAGGTACAACAAGCCGGCCTCTGACTCGTGCTGTTGCCTGTGTGAGTGGGAACGTGCGGAGGGTTTTACTTGAAGTTGCCGGGGTGCTGGCTGAGGGCGAGGCCCAGGGTGTCCAGGGCGTGACGATGGTGTTTTTGCGCGCTCAGCAGCAGAGTCAGCAGGTGGAGGGAGTGCAAGTCGTCCCCGCGGAGACTTAAAGCCGCCTGCAGGGGCTCTATGGCAGCTGACACCTGCCGGACACACGCTCATCATCAGATATTACAATATGTATATAATATATCGGTTTCCTGATGACAGATGACATATATAAACGGTATTACCTGTCGTACAAGTGCCAGCTGCAGAGCCAGGTACATGGCAATCTGAGCATCCTGGGGGTCTAATGAGTGAGCTCTGTGGAGAGAGAGAGAGAGAGAGAGAGAGAGAGAAGCCCCACAGGATTCACAATATGTTAGCAAAGTTGTAGTTTATTTTTTTTGTATTGGCGTATGAAAGAAAAGCCTGTCTCAAATGAGCCACATTGGTTAAAATGAAACACTATGAGCGAAACTGCAGCTTATGAATATGAGGAAAGGCTGGAATGAGAATAGAAGAACAGAAACCTACTTGCTCAAAACTCGCAGTGCTTTTTTGTGGAATTCATCCCGATCAGCTTTCAGAGTTGCTTTAGAGAGAGAGAGAGGCAGAACTCAGTTTACTCACTTTCACCTTTGCTTTATTTCAGATGTAAAATGTAATACAAACGCAAGCCCAAGTGGACTCTACTTTTCCTCACAATTCAAAAAAATAAAGTGTGTTTGCCAAGATAAAAGTTTTGGGATTTTATCACCCTTATTCCCTTTCTTAATGAGAAATACATGTAAAGGGCGGATTTATTTTTGTGTAGCTGTCTAACTTTTTATTTCTGAAAATGTTGAACTATTGAACTATTCTCTTAAATGTGCATTGTACGAGATTGGAAGCGTTTTGGTCGCCGTGCGACTTGGTCCTCTTCTCAGTCAGACATCCCTCCCGTCTATCTTCACGTAGCAAGGAGTCGTTTGCTGCTGTGTTTATGCACCTTCAAGGTCTGACTCAACTTCAGCTAATGGCAAGAGGTTAACCTCAGGGAAAGATTGTGTTTGAGAACTGTTGACTCGTAGAGGAGTCAGGATGGGAATGTTTTCCTGTCTTTGTGTGTGTGTGTGTGTGTGTGTGTGTCCTTACCATCAGAGGCCTGTAAACTGTAGCACAGTCCCAGGGACAGGTAGGCCCGAGGTAGAAGTTCTCCGGCTTCTTCCCCCATGGACGCCACACTCTGCGACAGAGCCTCCGCTTCCTCAAACTGCACACGGCCACACACATCAACATGCACCCCGATTAGCCACCGAAGAACGCTGCCTTCACCGTGTGCACTTCAATGCGCGGACACCGAATCCTCGCGCACCTGAAGAACCCACCCAACGGGCACACGTGAAAGGAAGGATATTGCAGCACAGAGATGCTGATGTGGCTGAGGAGCGGGCGGGGGAGGCATTTGGCGGCGGAGGCCCGGTGCGGGTGCAGCGCGAGGACAGTTCAGACCAGACTCAAGGACGACGCGGAGTTGGCTGAAGGACACAAACACGCGCTCATACCCACACGCGCAGCAGCAGACCTCGCAGGCTGTGTGCGCGGCGGCGAGGAGGAAAGTGTGTCTCCCTGTGTGAGGCACGGCGGGCGGGTCGGGCGGGGGCGTGGAGGGGTCAACGGCCTTCGACGGCACGCCAGCACAACAGCAAGCCAACTGCTCTTACTCCATCCTCCATCCTCCTCCTCCTCCTTTGCTTCAACCTCCCCTCTCTGCTACTCCCTCTGTCTTTCTCTGAATCCGGCCATCGCGAGCTCACAGCCCGCACACGATACTCATTTATACACCGAGTGCATCTTAAAGAAGATTAAGTGGTTTCTTTTGTTTTGTTTTCCTCTTCCCCTTGAAGACGATCATGTGGCTGAAGTCAAGGGAGAACCTTGCATTTGCAAAAAAGCTCTCAAGGAAATAATACTGTAAGAAAAAAAGAAAAAAGGCAGCCCATTTACAATCTTTTCCTTCCAAAATTTGATTTATTACAGTTTTGTTTGCGTTCGTCTGCCACAAAAAAGGAGATGCTGGTTAGATAACCGTCCGGTCCGGTGGAGCTGGTCGTGGGTGATGGTGGCCCGTTTATGTAAATGCCCCACTGCACTATGGCCACAGTGTCCCATTGTGATTAAGGCTGTAAGCTCCTTAGTGTCTCATGGCCTCCCGTGATCTCCAGCCACGGACAGATGTGCTCTCTCTCCATTCGCCCTGTTAGCTCCTCTTTTTCTAATCTCTGACCCCTTTCTCTCTCTCTCTCTCTCGCCGCTAACACCACTGTTGCTGTTGACTTTCTCCCTCCTGCCCGGATTAGGCCGGTATCCACGCTGCCCGGGGCTTTACAGTGACGGGTATCAAACCCGAACACTAGCGCTTTTGTGTGACGGCACAGGACGCAGAAGAGGCAAGCTCACCTTTCACCTCATCACCTTGAAGCTAAAGTTCAAATGCACTTTCAGATGGAAAATGTATCTTGGCTTCTCCGCCTGTAACCCTGTGCAATGTGAGACGTTACAAGTCCCTGTTTTTTGCTGGTGACATCTTAAAGGCACACCAAAAAACTAAAATACAGATTGATTTGGTGTGAGTTGGCTCGTTTGGGGGGGGGGGGGGGCAAACAGATGTCTACCCTGCTCTCCTATATAATCCGCTTGTGGTGCTCAAAGCGCCAAAACAATGCTTTTGAACTTGACAACAAAGTGTGTTTCCAGAAATCATGCTGGCACGGAGGACAACGGGGGCTTTGAGCTCAACGCTAATCTAACATGCTCGAGATGACAAATGCATGCTGATGTTTTAGCCGGCCTGATGTATTTTATGCTCAACTCTTAGTTGATAGCATGTTCAATCTCGCTGGTATTGTGTTTTGAATTTCAGTCTTGGTCCAAGGAAGCCGAGGTAATCATGTGGGGATCCTGATCGAACCACTACTTTAAGGGTGGATGTGAGACTTGTGAGCAGTTTAAACTTGTCATACGTTGTTATTTCAGTATTTCTCGAGGGACAAAAAGAAAGATCTAAGGTCCCCCTTTCACAAGATTATGGCATTTTACTTTATTGACAGTTGAAATGTATAGCAAAAACCTCTGTACATGGCTCAGCTCACAAACCTTAACTCTTGATCGTATGTGTGTGTGTGTGCGTGTGTGTGTGTAATGTGTATTGCCCTGCAAGTGCATGTGAAAGTTTAGTTAGTATTCACCCAGTGCAGTTGACCAATGCAGACTTTAGCAGCCAATAGGGGCAATGAGGGGTCCTGCGGTCTCATCCTGGCACACTCCTTAAATACAGACACAGCACCAACCCCCTGGAAGGAACACACACACACACACACACACACACAGTGTGATTCATGTGCACGCTGCAGACAGTCATTATCGTGCAGCCACAGATGACATGGATCGCCTTTAAGCGAGTGCATCAAACACACATTAACCGTCCTTACACATCACTAATAGACCCGTTTAGACACACTGTCACTTAATACTTGTAGGTCAATCATTAATGGAGCACGCACACATGCGTGCACCCCCCGGTTGGCCCTAAATAGGAGCGGATCTGACGACACCGAGGCAGGCCCCTTCTCCTTCTAGGGAGCAGCCTATTTCTGGAGCTCTCCATTGATCTGCAGTGTCACTTTATCTTGCAACCCAGATCCATTTTATATTCTGTCACACACACACACACATGAACACTGAGGGAGGAGGAAAGAGAGAAGGTGGGCAAGCTATTTAAGAGAAATCCCATTTGAAGAATGTCCAAAGCCTTTCAACGATTATTTAGCAGCCGACGGATTCAACAGCATTTATTTTCGTGTCTTCTTTCCTTTGCGAAAGGGCAAAGCCTTCACTACCACGTGGTTTACGTTTATCAAGGTGGTTGAATGCACTTTCGGTGCATTCCCCTTTGCAATGAATCTACTCTGCAATTGTGGAAGCCATCGGCACATCCCAGCAGACTGCTCCGTCAACCCTGCTTGTTGCACGCGAGGGCGAGGAAGGAGTACCGGCCGGAGGAATGGCAGGAGATGGATGTCTCCTTCGGGTGTGGCGTGCCTTTGGAGAAGGAGGCTGTCGTTGGTTATAAGCAGCGATGAGCTCACCTTCCCGGCCGCCATGAGTGACAGGCCCAGCTGGTGCCAGAGGTGGAACTCGTTGAATGAAAACTTCATGGCTCGCTCCAGACACTGCGGGGGGAAATGCAGACAGACCAGCACGTCTTAGTGGTTTAATTCATGACGAATGGGATGCTCATGTGGAGGTCCGGCCAGGTTAATCCAGACTGGGCCAAAAGGAAAAGCCGGGGCTTGGAACATTATATTTAATCTCTCATCATGAACTCTTCTTGACCACAGCTTGAAATGCCAGTCACCACTCGCCACCCACTCAGCGCCGTTTCCGCACATAATAAGGTGATTGACGCGTGTGTGGACAAGCAAAGGATTGGCGTGGGGCGTCGCTCAGTTAGGTGCGTTCAGTCATGTGGAGCCAGGATAAAAGGTTCAGCTAATATTCTGATGAAATAATGGGCTCATAATAGTGAGGCTGCAGATCCTTTAACATGCAGACAAACGTGCGGATTAGAGCTCAGCGTGGCTGATTGTTTCACTGGAAACACACAAAGCTTAGAGACTGTTAAGCATGAAGGAGTACTAGTGTAGTGAGGTCAAGTCCAGAGACCGTCACTGCTGCTGCTACATGCAGCTGTTACCCTTGACCTTTTCCCTTTGGTCACTTCCTAATCATTTTTTGCTACGTTTTTTGTAATTACTTTGTGTCAATTTGTAACTGTTTTATCTTTTTCTAGTTGTTTTTTGAGTGCTTTATGCATTAATCTTGTGTCTTAGTAGTTGCTCGGCTTATCTTTGTGGCCACTTTGTCTCTTTTTAGCCATGTCTGCAGGCCATGTAGTTGCTTTGTGTCTCTTTGTGGTTATGCTGAGTCGTTAGGTGTCTCTTTGAGAATATCTTTCCCCCTTATATGATCATTGTAAGTATATTAGTGGTGCATTTGCAGCTGTTTTGCTTCTCTTAGTTGTCATTTGGAATCTCTCCCGGATTTGTACGTGTCTCTTTGTAAATAAACATATTATTATTAAAATAGTCCAACCTCAAGATAGCGCTCGATAAAAGGTTGAGGCATTCTTCTGTCCAAATGTAATTGGCCATGTCTAATTCCTCGTGTGTCTAAAATCCTTTGGAAATAAATGTCCATGATTCCTCATTAGGAGTCAGTAACTTAGTGGAGGACCAACCATTAATGTCTCTACCATGAGCAGCTACTGACACATTAATGGACCCGTAATATCCATCCAATAATTCAACATATATGATAATACATAACGGAGAGTAGGAATAGAAACATACAAAGTCTTTTACTAATAATTGAATATTTTTGCTTTCACTTAATTGCACAATTTAAATAATTCTTCCATTTATTGCCATTAGGCAATAATCCATTATCATAATCCAACAAAATAATACCGCCTCAGTGTCCTGAAAATTGGATAATAAAACCCGGTCTTGCCTCAGACATCTACTTGATCGATTGCTGCTTATTACAGATGGATGGCACTGCCCGGCTGACATCTAATTCTCAATAAATGTCCCACACTGGCCTCGTTTATCAGCAAACTGATCCCCTGGTCTAAGTAGAACCACCTGAATGTGTATGAGTGTGTGCGTGGGCCTCCTTGTAAGATGACTGATGCGATCTATGAATCAGTCAGACAGCTGGACTAACCTAATTTTAGCTGACCACCTTCGCCTCCGCCTCCCTAACTTCCTACATCCAGGCAAAGGTCACATTTGGGGTGTTTAAAAAAAAAGAAGAAAGGAAGAGTAAATAGAGGAGGAGTTTGGAATGAGATACATGAAGACAAAAAGTGAGGAAGAAGAAAGAGACACCTAATCCCCTTGCTCGTTGTTAAGGACGTGCATTAAAAGGTTTGGCAAAGCTCCCGCTAACACATCTCATCCCCGCGCTTCTGCTTCACCACAGACCTCCGGCGTGGATCGCGCGTCTCAGTTTGTGCGCATGTCCTCACCTCAGAAAGCATGCCGTACTGCCCCCTCCTGGCCATGCCGATGGTGAGCAGGTCGTAGACGGAGTTGGCATTCTGCAGGCTGGCCTCGCGAGCCTCGGCCTGGTCCGGCAGACGGCTGATCACCGCCTCGCCGCTGGCCTGGGCGGACAGAGATACCGAGTGAGGGAGAGGAGGAGGAGGAGGAGGAGGAGGAGGGAAACTAAAGAAGGAAAATGAGTCGATGCTGAAACCGCCTTAGAGCGAGGAGCGTATAAGGGAAATGTCAGGGGAGGCACAGGGAGTGTGTGTGTGTGTGTGTTTCTCACCATAGACTCTGTGATGAGCAGCAGCAACACAGCCTCCTCCAGCACGTCCTGAGGACAGAAGCTGCCGGGACACAAGAAACAGGAAGTAGAACCAATAACAGGAAGTTTATCCCTCTATCTCTCACACACACACACACACACACACACACACGCACACACAACCTGTCCACAGGTAGATTTCCAGATTGCCGGCAGTGTCGCATTTCTGTCTCGCTTGTGGTGCTGTAACACAACACGGGCCACACTGGGTGTATCGCGACACAGCACACTCAGATGTCAGACACACACACACACACACACAGGGTCCTTCATTTCTTCCACCACTCCCACCCTTCTCTTCGATCACATTTGTTGATTCCCCTCCCTCTCCGGGCCTGAAGGACACGTTTGGCGGACACACCGGCGCGGCCTTTTCCAAATGGGAAACAGAGGGAAGGCGTGAACAATGCTCAAGTGCAGCTATTCCTCAGGGTGAAGTCTCCTCTTCCTCCTCTCCTTCTAATCTCAGACATGGATTTAGATCTTCACTTATGAGAGTGTGGGCAGGATTAGTCATGTGAGGGTGACTCAGAATGGCTCGCAGGGCCTCAACTACAAGAGGCTGAGACAGAGACAAGGCAACAAACGCTAAAACAGCTGTGTGATACAGCTGTGTGATACAGCTGTGTGATACAGCTGTGTGTGCCTGTGCCATCCATCGTTTGTTATTTTTGTCCCGCTAAGTTACATTCTGTCACTAATAACTTGATACAATTGTTGTATTACACTGTCATGTCATGTTGTGTTGTGCTATGCTACATGTAGCACATACTTATGTGTGTTATGCTGGAGTGTTATTTTATGTAATGTTAAGTTATGCTTGTATATTTAGTCTTATTTTTCAATATGTTGTTAAATGATATTAACTTGTCATGTCTTATTGTGACATGTTATCTATTTATGTTATGTTTTCTTGTCCCGGCAGGTTATTTTGTGTTACGTGATGTCATGTTGTCATGTTATGACATGTTATATTGTTACTTGTTACTGCACCCTATTATACTATGCTATCTTATATAGTTACATAATTTTCTGCTATATAATGCTCTAATATTATCTATTTTTTCGTTATGTAATGGAACACTGGTATTTTTTGTTGTGCATATTGTTTTCCAGGTTCAACACATTTCTTAATCAGTCACTGTTTATTTCCTTATTTAGTATCGTGCACGGTATTCTCTATCTAATTAGTAATTAAGGTAAATATGTAAGATATGCTGTAATGATACTGTGCAAAAAAATGCAGTTTCTTGTTATTTCTTTCTATCCCTCACTGTACTTGAGTGTTGGGTGAAATTGTTATAATAACCTGAATGTGAATCGTAATCACAATTAATGATATAGATTTCATTGCCCTATGCATGATAGGTGTGTGGCGATGGTTTTCTTAGGCTCTAAACTACACTGACGAGGTGTTTAAGATTTGTGTGAGCTTGGATTCCTTCCTGAGCACTTTCCTGGGAAAGCCTCTAACCTGACTTTCCATGTGCAAGGGCGTACTTTTACTCTGTGGAGACCTGACTCACACTCACGCCTCCCTGGTCATCACTACCGGTCTTTAGTAAAAAGAGAACCACTTGGACAAAGAGAATCGGCGCCTACTGCCAAGCGCTGCAGCTGCTGGGAGGATAACATCTCGGACATCACCGATACCACACAGGCTGAAAGTGCAACGTCGACAAAGAGGTAATTGACTCCTAGAGATAACAGCTGTGGGCACAAAGGTGAGTTGACACAAAGGAGTAACAAAACACAATCCCAGGAGGCCTCAGCCTTCTTAAATTTAGAACCCAGGTACAGCAATCGCACCGAGTACACCGACAGCTGGATCTCATGGACAATAAGGACTTGCAGAAACGCAGGTTCCATCCATCCATCCATCTTCACACCACTTATCCTGCACACAGGGTCGCGGGGGGGGCTGGAGTCCATCCCAGCCCACTTCAGGCGAGAGACAAGGTACACCCTGGATTGGTCGCCAGCCAATCGCAGGGCCAACACAGAGACACACAACCATTCACACTCACACTCACACACCTACGGGCAATCTGGAGTCACCAATCACCCTGATCCCCAGAGCACGTCTTTGAAGGCCAGATTGTGATGTAGAAATGAGAAAAATAAACCAACCAGTCCGTGCTGTAACGTTGTGGCGGTCTAACGGTGGGGTAGGTGGCGTCTTTGGAGACGGCGGCTCCCTCTCTGTGCAGCCAGGCAGAGGGTGGGGGGCCCAGCGGGGGCCAGTAGCTGTCCTCACTCACAGCACCCAGCAGCACCTCTGCCAGCTTCCTCGCTGCAGACTGAAAGGAAAACACCATGTACTCGTGTAACACCGAGCATAAAGAGCAGTATATATAACACAGTAACATATGCATAAATACTCATCATAGTGTTAATACAACAGCAAACTATTATTTGCTATGTAACAGTATAGTGGAGTATGGTTCCCCCACATGTTAATGAACTGTTGTTTGCACTGTTTGCATCTTTTTAGCTGCCAGCTCAGCAGTCCGCCAACACTGAGAGCCAATTGGAGGCATTCCCTCAATCACAGATATGCTCTGGATATGATAATAGTAGTAACCTTTATGGTTAGAAAAATAATATTTATAATATATTAATATAATAATAATATTTGTACTCTGTGTTCAAAGCTCAGGTTCAAGTTTATGTGGATTCTTTTTAAATTGGCCTTTTTTAAACACCTGCTGGGTTAGTTTGTCTGTCAAATATCTACCTGTGTAATGTGCTGATACACATTGAATAATGAATGCTAGCAGTGCAAACTACAGTACCTATATGTGTGTGTGTGTGTGTGTATGTGTGGGTGTGTGAGTATGTGTGTGTGCGTACGTGAGAAACACCTCACCTTCCTGAAGCTCTGAGACCCCCGTGACTCCACAACCCTCAGCACTCTACGCAGCTGGTGAGCACCCTGCGCCAGATGACTAACACATAGACCACACACACACACACACACACACACACACACACACACACACAGTAGGCGTACACCGTGTGATGTATAGGTATGAAGGTGTAAGATTGAGGATGTGAGCAATAGCACCGATGATCTGAATGCATACCGCTCCAGGGACACCGCATGCGAGCGAAGCTCTGGAATGACTGTTGGAATGAACCCTGGGTCCCAAATATGAGAGTTTCTCATATTTTGTCCACTCTATTTATGTCAGTGATGGTAGACACTTTTGAAAAAACAGCCGCTTTCTGAATCACTTCAGGGCTGCTGAATCACACTGCATTTCGTTTCTGGGTGTATCTCATGAACTGGAAACCGACTACAGTTAGTGTGCTAGAAAATAATGCAGAATGTAACACGTGCAAAATGCAGCATGCCGAAAACACCTGGAAGTTCCACAGCATTCTGCAGCACGCGAGCCAGCACGCTTTTCTGGCTATTCTGACGCAAGATGGTGAAAATTGAGGTTCGGGATGTTATGTATGCAAGTACGTGATGTGATTGTATTTCCCAGTTGAATGCATAATAGCTGCGGAACGGACTAGAAGAAAAGTCAATGTTGTGCCAATGGGACAGCAGGGGGAGTGAGTGACAGGCCACCCTGTCCTATGGCTACACTGACACCTGCTGGTCATCAATCAACATGCATCTCCGCTTCACCGAGGTCAGGCGCTCAAAAGCTATTGTTTGACGTCTTCTGCCTCCTTTGTCTTTCTCAAACAAACGGGAAAAATAACGTTTGCGTGATGTAAGAGGAGGTTGATCCATTACGACTTGCAGTTGGAAATTAAAAAAGAACCAATAACCGACTGCCTGACGAACTTTGATGTTTCTTTTACTTCCCTTTACCCAGATTAAAACGCATGTACTTGTGTAGTCTTTTAGTTGTGTAGATGTGTGATGGGTGAGCTCACCCCCGCTGCAGCAGACAGAGGTAAGCACTCTGTAAGGAAGCCTGCAGGAAGTAGCCCAGGTCCACGTCCACAGGGGGAAGAAGACTGGCTTTGGCTGTCCTGGTGTGAGGCGTCGTTACCGTCTGAAAAGATACGTAACGTCACAGATTTTTTGATTTCTTGTTTCAGGTTCTTATATCTACAGTTGTTCACACACACATACACACACACACACACACACACACACACACACACACACACACACACACACACACACACACACGTATACTCATCCACAATTTGATATTTTCTTTTTGTTTTATTTTTTGTTTTAGGGATATTTAGTGTGATTATTATAAATCATCTACAATATTACAAAGTCATGTATGTATATGTCTACTTTACGTATATAACGGTTTTAATATTTTATACGTGGAGGCTTTAAATAGGCCGAGGGGATTTTCCGCCTTGTGCACTCTGATATTATTTATCCCTGTTGTGTTTGTATTTATTTTAAATTGTGTGAAATACAATAAACTAAACTAAACAGTACTGTTAATGGAGATGTCAAAAATAAAATCCAAAAAGAATAAATTACAGTTAAACATAGACTTCATTCATGCAGACACAGTATGTCTTACATGTATAAATGTACATCTATCACGCTGTGTGAAAAGCCACCTTATCGAGCTCCTGCAGGTAGGACAGAGAAGCATCACAGGCCCGCAGGTAGCAGGACAGACTCTCCTCCTCCCTCTCTGACAGACGGACCCGGGACACAGAGGAAACTGTCTGGTGGTCGAGGGACAGACCTGAGACACGAGGACAGACGACACGAGATTCACACACTGGGCTCGCAAGCATGTGATGCCCCAACACATATATGCACAAAATAAAATATGAAGACTGTAATTCTCGTTTTAATTAGTAAGCGATTCATGTGAAAGGAAATATGTTATATTTGTCAATATATTATTAATTATTATGAATAATTCTTATTATAATATTATAGGCTTCAATGACGCTGCCATTGTCAGATAGAAAATGAGAAATATTTCAAACAATTAGCTATTATCTTACCCGAAGTTAAAAACAACATATTAACAAAAGAAATCTCATTTCCTTCTCATTTGCAGCAAAAGAAAAACAGTATTTGTATCTCTCTTGTCTTTAGTAAGACACTTGAGATGGAATTTAAAAGACAGACAGTCTTCCAAAAAGCAAGAAACACCTTATATGTTGAGGCTGTGTGAGTATATAGTCAAAGTATATTTGATTTGGATTTCAAAATCCCAACATTTTCTTCCATACAGGCAGAACTTTCCCCCGTTTCTCTGCATATTGGTCAGTGTAGACACACAGCGGGAGAAAGAGAGACGGGCCGTCCCGGTCCAGACGCCGGGTCTGATGTCCATTAGTGGACTCATTGGCAACAAGTAACCGGATCGAGCCGGATCGGCCTGTGAAGGACAGCAGCCTCGGGGGCCCGACGCCAGACGCCTCATCGAATAGACGGAGAGCTGCCGATAGACAGGACATCAGCGTCCAAATACTTTCATCCGACGTCGGTCCCACCACGATGCACACGCCATGAAAAACCCCTCAAAGATCCGATCCGTTCTCTCTTGAAGCATCTTGCAGAGGCAAACACGACCCGCTGTCAATTTCATTTAGAGAGACTCAAAGGAAGCACAGGAAATAACCTCGGATTCTCTCTTGAGCATGATGTCACGTCCAATTATCGGAAAACAGGCAGTGTAATCAAATGATGATGATGAGTTTAACGAGATTACCCAGAGTTCACAGGGCCACGTGCAATGTGACGTTGTGTGGATGTCACCTGACAAAATTCTACTATTTCACGTGTCAAAATAGGCTCAGAAACGTAGGAGTTTATTTGACTGAAGAGGATGTGAAGGGGAGCTCATTCCTAAAGTGACCCCAAAATAACCAACCTACGTGTTTGGAGCTCAGACAGCTCGTGTGTGTGTGACTGTGAGTAACAGTGAGTGTTTCCTCCTCTTGTGTGACTCACAATCATTGGGCTTTTAAAGTAGCATCTGCATAGAAATCTGCCACTCGCGTTCCCTCCCACGTTGCTAGATGGCTCCAAGAATAAAACCCTCTTTTGGATATCAAGTATTGTTCTACTTATCAGCACAATGAATTGAACATTCTCTAAAATTTACTTTTTCTGCGCAAACTAAACGAATCCCTCTCAATGTGCGGCTGTGTTTCCTGTCTTTGGCGTTTCTGGGCGTCGGTCTCTATGGAAACGCAGCGACGAGGTGACTGATCGTAAGCGCGCAGTTACAAAGACAGCAGAGACAGCTGCAAAAAGACAGAAACATTGTGAGGCCAAATACCGACCTGACAAAGCTCTTTACAAAACGAGAGTGAGGTTTGCATTTCGCCAAATCGCCGACAGCCTTTCTCGGGGGGGTCGCTGACGTCCGCCAATTCCAGCTGATGCTTTCCAGCCCCGTGACATTCATCTCCACAGATTGGATTCTGCCCGTTTGCTTTCCTCCTTCTTCACTTCCAGACCCCACATAAGGTTATTGTGATTTTAGGGCCGTAACTAGTAACAAGAAAGATTCAGAATGGGGCCGTGGAGGAAACGTAGGAGCCGTTGGGTCGTTTTGTCTTGTCAACTACTGGAAGACCACTTCAAATCCTCTGAGACGACGGCGGCCGGGACGGCGGCGTAGACGGTACCTTTGATGACAAAGGCCTCGGCCAGCAGGCGGAGGTGGTAGGTCGGCTGCTCGTCCCGTGTCAGCTCCTCGAGCCCCACCCTGGCGCACATTCCCTGGGCGTCCCGGTAGCGACCCTGCACATAGTGCACTTTGGCCATCAGCAGTAGAGCCTCGTTCAGGTACCTGGGCTGTGGGGGCGGGAGGGAGGAAAGTGGTTTGTCAAAAGGACAGTACGCCCCCCATGTATTATTTACAGTTTGGAGAAACTGAAGGGAACCCGGTTCCAACTGACGGTGAGGAGGCCTCGGCTGAGGATGGTGTTGAGGTGGCTTTTGGCCCGGCTCAGCCTGGGGTGGGTCTTCTCCATCAGAGGCGTGGAGGTGCGTAACAGGTCCATGTTGTCCTGCAGGCACTCCTCCAGCAGCGCCTCCGCCATCAGCAGCGTCCCGTAGTCATCTGGTGGATGGGATTGGACATTATTTGCGGGGTTAAAGGTCTGAGCTGCTGGGTCAGAGGTCATATGTTTCTGTTGCCAAAGCAAACCACACTCATCCATTAAAAACAACCTTTCCCACCAGCTCAGCCAGGGGAATTCAGATATTGCCCCGAATGTCTATTTAGAAGCTAAAGTTTCCGTTTCCCTCAAACTCTCCTTAAATAGCTTCAACATTGCAGCCGTATGAGAAGACCTGCGCGTCCACCTCCACTAAAGATATGGATGTTTACTCTTACAGTAAACCGTTCTGTTCAGACGGGCCTTCAGTCCACGTTTTCTTGTTTACACACACACACACTCCATTAAAGCCTTCCTGTTTAGGTTTTTCATTCTGCGTGTGTGTGTGTGTGTTTGTGTGTGTTTGTGTGTGTGTGCGTGTTCGGACGCTAATCTGTGAGCAGCGTTTGCGTCCCGGTAGACTCGACATATTTGCCATTTTGTTTCATCAGCACAGCCGATCTCGACCTATCAGCGAGGGGGGGGGGGGGCGAAAGAGGGCGGGGGGGGGGGGGAGGAATTTTTCTCCCCTCTCGGAGGTTTTTTATGGATTCTCACAAATCGGAGCAAAGACTGTGGGAGAGTCGGTGTTGCAATGAGTAACCCGGAGGTAAACACAGAGATCACACATTCCTGTGTGTTAAAGCAGGAGGACAGATGAAGAAGTCTAATGAAATCAAACTTTCTTTCACCTTGTGATCGCTTTGAAGGAGTCATTTTGTGACACATGGTGGAGCGAGCACCAAAACAGACAAGACAGACAAAACAGGGAGACTAGTAGGTGAACATTTCACAGCTATAAGAGTTGGTGTGAACAAAACAGAACTAAAACATTCAAGCGGAAAAAAAACAGGTCTGAAGGTTAACAACAAATGTCCTCATCTGTTTGCTAACCAGTTGATTGCAGTGCAAAGGGACCACTAGCTGCAGCCAGCTCACACACACTGACCTCAAACCACAATGGCCACACATTTTGGTTTACAGTTGACTGCAGCTGGGGGAGAATTGGTGAGAGGTTGTGGAGAGGAAATACTAAGGTGGGGAATTCACCTGATGTGCCCCACCATGCCCAGACCGGAAAAATAATTTGCTTGTAGATTTAATTTCTCCACTGTGTTTGAATATTTGAAGGTTCGCTGTGGGGTTTCAGCTGTGTTGGAGTTGCAGTTTGTAGATTTATACTCTATGTACAAAGAAGAAGTGATCAGCTTTAAAACTAACTAAACTAAAATTAGCAGCTCGGCAAATCTTGAGTGGACCTCACAACACTCTGCAGGGTGTCTTTAAACGCTCCCACAATGGAACAAAACGCAGCCTATAAAATAGCCCCCAAGTGTTTGACGTCAGAGAGCAACAAATACAAACACACGTGTGACCTCGGTGTCCTGAACGCCAGCTACCGTTGTGAATGAGTGGGGTTTTTTTGGAGAATGAACAAGTGGGCAAACATCAGCCGACAATATCACACCTTACTCCACCAGCACCGAATGAGTCGATCGCCCCTCACATCACCCAACTTCAAGTCATCCAAAGTTAAATCCTTCCAACTGCGACAGACTGAAAGGACGCAGTCGGGTGGAGTTATACCACTGAGCTGAATTAATATATTATTATATTATTACAACCAGTCACTAACAGCAGCTATTGGCAGCATGGCTTCACCCACATTTACTCTGCTGAGAGGGAAGGTGGAGGCAGGTGGAGGCAGGTGCATTAGCGACTTAGAAACTCTTCAAGAGGCGCAGTGATAAGTGTGTTTGCTTTGGTTAACTGGTTTGAAGGGTACAGGAAGCCACCGTAAACCTTTGTTTTGTGTAAGATATTGAACCATGAAGGGCTGGAGGGGACATGAAATACCTTCACGCGGTTGTTATGTCCACTGTAAACGTCCAGGGAGAGACAGCTTATTATTCTGCAGGACTTTCTCGGGGGAAACCGTGAACCACGTTGGTTGAGTTAAATTCTTTAACCACTCGTGTCGTGTTCACCGTGCAAAGTCCAACTTGTGTACAGTGCGACCAACGCAGTGCAGAACACGTCCATCCCTGAGCCACTCGTGGGTCCCCAGAGAGTTTTATACTTAAATCACATCAAATACTCCTCGTTCTACTCATTGATGAATAATCTTTTTTTAATGTTTTTATTTACTACAACTGAGAGACAACAACTTCCGGAAACTTTGCAGTCCTATTTTGGCGGAGTAAAACAGTAGTATGGAACCCTGCGAAAGTAATAATCGTTACTTTATTTTGCCTTGTGTACGTGAGTGAGGGGTTTAAAAATAAGACAAATAAAAACAATCATGGAAGCGCCAGGAGATAAACCTCAAATGTAATTTTTTTTTTCTTCCAACCACTGACCGTCCTCATGGAACCGCGCCGCCTTCATCTGGTCGATGATCGTCGGCATCTTGTCCCACTGGCACTCGGCCCGGCAGCGCTCCAGCTCCGCCTCCAGGCGCAGCTGCGTGAAGGAGACGCGCGAGGCCATCGGTGCTCTGTCCCGGTGGTGACTGTGCTCCCCGGACACGATGGGAGTGACCGCGGACTGCCAGGAGATATGAATGTGTAATCTTTGAGTGCGATGCGGAGGAGGCGGGAGGAGGGAGGAGGGAGGAGGGAGAGGAGTAGGGCTGGTTGTAAAGGCACCACAGGTCATCACAGTGCAAACTTTTGTTATGAATATTATTGTTATTTCCAATATTAAACTATGCATTTTTGTTGAATTGTTTGCTGTGAAATACATTGTAGTAATTATTTAACAAGGAAACCTTTCCTGTGTGAACCCTCTTCACTTGTTATACGTCACTATCATCCTGCAGCAACTCACTATGATGCCCATTGACTGTCTTATGCATTGGGGACTAACTTTGGTAAAGGTTCGTTTCTTGAAAAAGAACATGGCATTTTCAGAGGGCTTGATCTGCAGCTGTCGGAGGTAAAATGAGGGCAGCCACGGCCTCCACCCCCCTTTAACACTTTAACTGGATCAGGTGGAGCTTATGAAGTCGTAATGCAAAGAAAGCTTCAGGCTACCCGGACACAGCAAAGTGCAAAAACATGCATATAAAAGACGAGATTGTTGCAGAAAAACATGTTAGAATTGCTCGGCTTGCTCCCTGATCTGGGATCAGTTACACGGGGACGTGTAATTGCACCAAGGTTTTACAAAGGGAGAAAACAGTATAAGTTGTTGTTGCAAAGGGAATGTTAACAAAGAGATGGGTTTGAAGGGGGAAACCCACACGAGTCCATCGGCATGTTGACTAAAACTAACATTTGACTCCATCCACAGCACGGGGTGTAATGCACAGGGGGAGACGGGGGGGGGGGGTCACTGCGGGGTTCACATGAGAGTCTATGATTAGCTACTTCATGACATGAAATAAGAACCTCGAGCCTTCTGAACAGAGACTTAGCAGCGTCATTTTCTCTCTGGAAACTTGACATTTGTTTGACACGAATCGACGCTCGTCCTCTCCCCCCTCAGTCAGCTGCGCGGCTGTGACGGTGTGATAGCCGAGCGGCCGTCAATGGGCCACTTAACCCCCCCAGCACCTGGTGACGTTACACAAGAGTCACTGCAAAGCTTTATTCTCTGTCAAGATGGGTCCCGCTCTGTGAACTGCTTGTTCCCATGTGAAAAGTTCTCACAAATTACATCTATAGAATGCCTAGACGTATGATTAACTAAATATAATATCTTTAACATAATATTAGAACATTCTTAAGTACAAAGTTCTCCAATCCAGCTGTGGAATGCTAAATATGTGCCGTAGTCTGTTTAGCGAGCTATCAAATGAGCGGGTGGATACGACAGAGTGGTTGTTGGTGGAGGGAACCCTCTCGCTCCATTTGCACACTCTTTGACAACTCTAACCAATCACAGTGAGCTGTCGTGTCGGAACGAACTACGGCGAGCAGCTTGGTCCTTAAAGCCGGCGGATCTTCATTGTTGCCCGAAGCAAACGACTAAAACAACATAACTGTCCGCAGAATAAGGTGAATATACACGTCGTTTCCAAGTGAGTATTAAAACCAGCAGTCAAGTGATGATATCATTGAATGTCTTGCGGCTTATGTCTGGTGCATTCGACACTGTACGGTATGTTTTTAACGCAGTCCTGAAATTAAGCTTCATGCTACTATAAGTCTTATTACAGCCAGCCTCTTTGTACATTAACTTTCTTAAGACAACGTCGGTTATTTAACCCTGTGGTGCATATATGAAGATTCACGTGGTAACACTCAGGTATAATATATCAATATTGAGCCCATTTTCTTACGGAGGTGCGATGTCGCCTTATGGCGTTTACATGCCTGAAGGTGTCCGACGTTACAGGATTTTGATTTACAATCATGTCTTTACACATTCGTCTCTTCTGGGGGCCAAATGGCGTTTGGGTTAAAAACCACCGAGCCAGATGTCTACATGTGTTGAATGCAAATCCAACATGTTGACATAAGGCAAACCAGTATTTCTTATTGGGGGTTATTTATCTGCTACACTGTAATATTTCAATGAAACGTTTGAGGAAAAAGTTGAAGGGAAGAAAACAACCACGTAAATTCAGTGCATACAAACCGTATGTGATGTCCACTAAAAATGTCTCTGTGATTTAACTTTGTTTGTGTTTGTGCTCAGCAGAATGAGGAGCGGCAGGTGCAGCGTGCCGTGGGGGGGTCTGCTCGTCCTCCTGTCCTGCTCTCTGCTGTGTGTCCACTCTCACGTGGATCCCCAGAAGGACCCGCAGGTCGTCCTGAGTGGCGCTCACATGTCCGGTCACGGTCGCCTGGACAAAAACATGATCCAGGACAAAGAGTGAGTGTCACCTCCACGTTCAACAGGCCCTCTGCCGGGTTGCTGTTGGTGTAAGATTCGGGACTTATTTGCACAGAGTGGTGAACTTTGAACACGGTCGCACAAACACACACCCCGTGTTAATCTGTGGTTTTTGACTCCTCTCTTCATCCACCAGCCACATCATGGAGCATTTGGAGGGAGTGATCGACCAGCCAGAGAAGGAGATGACGCCCCAGGAGCTCCAGCTGCACTATTTCAAGATGCACGACTATGACGGCAACGACCTGCTGGATGGGCTGGAGCTCGCCACGGCTATCACACACGTACACAAAGAGGTAGGTTTCATTGGGTATGAACAGTTTATGTGTCATGAGTGCTACGTGCGATCACCGAGACTAACGTGCTGTTCGTGGCAATGCTGAAACAATAGAGAGGGACACCATGTGTCTACCGTGCATGCTAAGAACTAAAATGAATACACTGACAACCCATTTTCCGGTGACGGCCTAATGAAATGACAAAACAAATACTGCTTTAATCCAAGATTCGCTAGATTCAGAGCAAGTAAATACAGATTTTAAATTCTATTAAAATCTAAGATTCTACACAATAAAAACTAATTTATATTTGGTAAATCCAAACCCAAATCAAATGAATTAGGATGCCTTCCTTCCCAAATTTAAATAAATAAATACATTTAGTGATGTTTGGACCTAGTAATGTAACCTTTAACAATGTTTTGCTGTTCTGTATTTTTCAAAAAAACATCAATTAATAAGAAAAATGGCCATTAGTGCCTCAGCAAAGAAGCCCTCATTTCTCCTACTTTTCAGAAAACAACTTTTAGGCCGAATCAAGGAAGCAATGTTGTTAATATTAGAAGAAATAATCACATGAAATGAAAAACATTAATATTTTTCAGGCCCAGAACAGTGTGTTGGAGAATTTCAACTAAAGAAAAATAAAATAAAATGTTTTATTGAGTCGGTCAGTTACCATTATTTAAAGGACTATTTCACAAGTAGCAGCCATATTCAAGTGAAAATTGAAAACTGCATTGCAGTTTGAATTAGAGTTTAACGTTTTGGTAGAACATAATTGTAATTGAATCTATTAAAAACTAAATTAATGTTTAAAGAGATTTATATATAATGGACCGTAATTTAAAGATTTAAAAAATTAAAAACACCATTTTAATTGGGTTTAAACTATGAGATTATCCTCATTGCAATCTACGGTCATGACATGATCACATAATGTCTGTTCACAAATCTTGCACGTTTCAGTCCACACAACATCCTTCTTTGTGTCCGTTATATCCAATGAGCCTCAGGACGCCGTTAGAAAATACGTGAGAGAGAAAACTATAAAGATGGAGCACAGAATGTAGATAAACTAAAAATGACGGCAAAATAACCAAAGATGGACGGGAATGCGACCTGTTGTTGTCCCACGTGCACACGTGAACGTGAACTCGTTCCCCAGGAGAGAGGAGAGAACAGCCAGCCCATGAGAGAGGAGGACCTCATCAGCCTCATCGACGACGTCCTGAGGGACGATGACAAAAACAACGACGGCTACATCGATTACGCAGAGTTCGCCAAGTCTCTGGAGTAACGTGAGCGCTGACGTGGTCCCGACATCGATGACGACAACAACAACAACAACAACACAACGACGACAACAACAACAACCACGAGGAATCTGTAGACGGAGGAGGCGAACTGAAAAGCTGCCTCCCGTCGGTCTAGAAAACCATCGTTTAATCTTTGCTTTCCCTCACAGGCCGCTGGTCAATCAGCGTTATTGGTCATCACATTTTATATCTAAGTTACGAGCAAAACAATGTTCTATTAAAATGGTTTACCAAGCAACAAAAAAGGGAGAAAAATGAAATTGGCTATTTTAATTTTTTGGTAGGTTGAAATTTTCTTTTACAATATCACAAAGACACATGTTTTTTCCTCTGCCTTTCACGGTGTCCGATCACCACATACTTTTTAATTCTGTTTGAGCCAAATGGCCAAAATGCTTAAACGTCCCAATACTTTCATTGGGAACGAGCACAACCATCAGTGACAAGTGAAAGCGGAGGCTTCGGTGGCCGGTGGCTCAATACCGAGAATAATAATAACCCAAACTCTGGCCCTTTATAGACATACTGGACATTAATTCACACTGGTAACTGGATATCATCAAAACCGATGTCCCTTTAAATGGACCGCAGCTCGGAACCGGTGAGGTTTGCGCACACAGGACTCATTAACTGTAGGTGACACGCTGCCGCTGTGCGAGACCAAACCTTCTGTCCCTTTCTTCTGCTGCCACTCATGTAGGAGGCATTCGCCCACGATAAAGGAAAAGTGGCCGTGACCTGCTCAGCTGTACAGTAGCCTGATGGCGTGTGTGTGTGTGTGTGTGTGTGTGTGTACAGAATGTAGAATACGTTTAGTTTTTTGGGATAGCGGGCGAAGCGTCAGGGACATTGAATGTCGCCAGCGGAGACTCTGCGTTTCCGGACGTCACCACATTTATTCAAGCCAATCGACGCCAATGTGAAGCCGCGCCGCCGACTCGTGACCCCTGGATGAGCTTCACCGAGGGCACGCGGTCGACCCCCACCGCAGTCGTTTGATAAGCTGACGGAGCTCCACTGAGGCCCTCTGCGTGACCTCGCCATGTTTGCTTCAAATCATTAGCTGCCTTTTTAGAAAAAAGAAAAGAAACCTGATTGTACGTGTTTGGTCTCTTCGTCTCATCCGTGACGGATGGGGGAATTTCATATTCTTGCCATCCAGTATTGATTCTTCAATCAGTTGAAGGAAAATTTCAAAAAGGAAACGGATGCAATGACGTTTCTGCAATGTGAGATATTAAAAACTCTAATCAACAAATCTGTGATGTCTTTGTGTTGTGCATTCATCAAAATACTACTTAGAGGCATTAGTGGGAGGGGGGAGATTTTTTATTATTATTATGATTTACTGAAAAAGGTTTTGAAGGTGACTGCTTCATGTACAGGGATACACATTGAAATGGCCCCTGAAGGGCACACGCAACACATAACAGAGAAAACATTCGAACTTCTATAGAAAACTACCAGTATGGTAGCACTGATGTTAAGACCCCCCCCCCCCCCCCACACACAGGGCACTCTCTATTAGTGTTAGTAGATGAGAGCGAAGTTAAGAATAAAACTACAATAGAGGATGAAATAAGAATCCATATGCTATTCAACACCAATTGGAACAAATGTTAAAAAACTTTCAGTACAGAAAGTTCCCACACTGTGTGTGACCCTGAAGTTACATTTACAGCTAAAATAAAGGTCTGCAACATGTCGTTTTAACTTGAACGTTGTTTTTGGCTTTAAATCTGCACTTGGATATTCAGATTAATAATGTGCTCAAATTAGATACAATCTATTTTTACACACTGACAAATTCTTCAGTTTTTCTCGCTGACCAACACATATATAACGTTTCATCCTCAGGCTCTGCGTCTAAAACTTCTGAAATGAGTGTGACGGGCGCGTGAACTATTTAGTCGGCACGTTCACTCGATTTCCCTTTTTAAACGGGCCTCTGAGCTTCTCAGCTCCAGTGGGACGGGGCGTCCAGGGGCTGCATGGGGGCCAGCGAGAACACGGGCGAGGCCAGGCCGCTCCTCAGCGGGCCGTACCAGTCCTCGGGCTGCCGCGGGCCGGCCGGCTGCGGCGGGACGCCGGGACAGGGGCACGGGCCCGGGGGGCGGGAGTAGGCGCCGGGGGGGAGGCAGGGGATGTGAGCCAGGGACTGGCTGAAGTACTGGCGGGACATGGCGGGCGGCTGGACGTGCAGGCCGCCCAGCAGCGCCCTGTGGCCCGGCATCAAGCCCACGGGGAGGAGCTTCTGGGAGGCCCGCTCCTGCTTCCGCTGTTTGGCTCTTCTGTTCTGGAACCAAACCTGCTGAGACGTGGACATGGTGGAGACAGAATAAAGGTCAGAGACGAGGAGAGGATTTGGACATGGTCCATGGACAGGATTGCGACAAAGACAGGATAGAGACAACGGCAAGATGGAGACAAGCACAGGATAGAGACAAGGAAATGGTTAAAGACAAGGACAGAATGGAGACACGGAGCAGTGGGATACAAGGACGAGGACAGACAAATTGTCCCATCTTAATATTAAGTTGGAGATAAGGAGAGAATGGAGACAAAGACAAGATGGAGACAAGGACCAGATGGAGACAAGGAAATGGTTAAAGACAAGGACAGAATGGAGACACGGACCAGTGGGATACAAGGACGAGGACAGACAAATTGTCCCATCTTAATATGAAATTAATATTAAGTTCAGCACATCTGGGCTGTATGTTCATAGCATGTTCTTAGCGAGATGTGTTCTTAGCAAGTTTTTTTCAAGGTCTCTCCATTTCAACCCGAACAAATGATCCGATATGAGTAATAGGTGTTGTTTTGTTATAATGTTTTGGTATCGTCATCGTTCCCTCTGGACACCGCTGTGTGTTTCGGCGGGTGTGGACCTGTATGCGGGCCTCGTTGAGCTTGGTGATGCGAGCCAGCTCCTCTCTGTAGTAGATGTCGGGATACTGGTTTTGTCCAAAGGCCGCCTCCAGCTGCTCCAGCTGCTTGTGGCTGAAGGTGGTGCGGTGGCGTCTCCTGGCCGGCGACGGGTAGGCCCGGCCCCGCCTGCCGAGGCCCGCGCCCATGGAGGTCTCGCAGGCCTTCCTCGCCGACCCCGCTATATCTGCTTTCAGGGGGAAGAATGGGAGCGTCTGGGCTTTGCGTGGACGCTCAAAAGACCTTTTTTGGAAACAATTCTCCGGCTCCCGTTTCCCGAATTACTTGGCAATGGCATAAAAAAGAAAAGAAGAAAAGTGCCCTAAAGAAAACTTGTAGGAGCCCATTTTACCAAATGAGTCTAAAAAAAGAGGGATTACTGTGACTTTATGGTTCCCACTGCTGCAGGCAACCTGAGAGCCACGGAGCTTTAGGGGCCAAAGACAAAACGCGTGAGAAAAAGACACCAGAAACTAGGGGGATTTGACCAAGATTATTACCACAAAGTGACTAATCTGACCAATTGGTGCACTGAGTTGCCCGTGTACTCGGTTTGAGAAGAGGAAGAGGAGGCTGATTTGATGATGGGCATTGAAAGTGTGCTCGTTCTCACAAAGGTTCTCTTAAATGTTTTTACCAAACCCGGTTGCTTATTTATACAGTTTAATCCTTTAACTACTGTTATTGAACTAGAACCTTTGGATTCCTACTTGGCAATTACTCCATTAGGATCAGACCAATTTTTTGAGGCTAAGTTTCATTCCAAGGCAGCCACCAGAAGATATTAGACGCCCAAATGCATTCCACAGCAGACGTTGTTAAATCGAACAGTTTGGATCTGAAAATGAATTAGGAGCTTAAAAAAACAGAAAACATTGAGCTTGTAGACGATCATGCAGCTTTTCACATCTTTATTGTAACTTTGATAAGTTAAATATTGCTAAAAACATGCCACATTTGGATAGAAAGCGACTTTAGGTCTCCCTCTGTCGTGTTGTAGAGGAAAGTCGTAATGTCTTCTCTCTGACGTGCACTCACCTGCACTGGAGCTGACGGTGGCCATATCGGAGTAAACATCTGCACAGTCGTGGTGGCTCCTCACTGCGTCTCCTGCAACCTTTACCAGGTCCATCGTTGCAGCTCTGCTCGCACCGACTGAGCCCCCCCGCGAACACAACTGACCATGGAGTCACATGGCGGGCCATGTCCCACCCACCTCGCTTTACCTTTACCTGTGTGAGAGTCTGCGTCATGGGACACAGTGGGCTGCTCACTGGGATTCCACACATTGTCCTACATTTTGCAGAAGGCAAGGAGGAATCCTTATTGGCCAGATAGTTGCTATCAGTCCGGACATTTTTGTATATAACATTGCTCTTTCTCCCTGTAAGACTATTTGATATCTGTACAAAGAAACAGAACATGGCCCATTGACTCAATTGGACGTCTCAAATATCCATGTTTGTCCAAACTGCATTTATTCTCATTTTGTTGTTGTATTCTGGCAGAGACAGATTTGCATCGTCCTTCCCTCGCTTTGAATTCAGCTTAAAAGAAAAAATTGATAAAAAAAGATTTAGATGGTTTTGGTATAAACTGCCTGTTTATGGATGCATCGCCTTCCCTCCAGTATAATGGGACAATCGTTTATTAATAATTAATTCGTCTTGACTGAAAGGCAAATTGAAAAAAAAATGTTTTTCTGAGATCAGGATCGTAACCTGATCTATAGACCTTGTTGTGAGGAGTTCACGTAGTTTAAGTATTTTCTCTCAACCATTACTCCCACATGGCTTCTTACGCTCAATGATAGTTAATTGATTAATTCTTCATTGCAGAAGTTTGAAGTTGTATATTTTGTTGTATAGATTATAGATTGTAGGGCGGCACGGTGGCGTGGTGGTTAGCACTGTCGCACTGTGTAGCCCTGCGATTGGCTGGTGACCAATCCAGGATGTACCCCGTCTCTCGCCCGAAGTTGGCTGGGATGGACTCCAGCGACCCCCCGCGACCCCGTGTGCAGGATAAGCGGTGTGAAGATGGCTCATACATGTAGATTATTTCTGACGAATTGCAACTCCTTCCGTGACCACCAGGAGGCTCCCTCACATCAGCTTGTGTTTCACCCAAACTGCAGACGACACCGAGCACACCAAAAGGCAGAACTCTCGTCTGGTCTATATTTTGCCACCGGGGTGGGGGTGAAAGTGTGGAGACCACCCGGCTGAGAACACTCCTGAGTGCAAACACAACCCCCCACCCCTCCCCCGGCTCAGTGCGGTCCGTTTCGCCGTGCCTTGACTGACAGGGCACACTGTAGGAACCGGATTAACTCAGCTGAACTCCTGCGTGACCTCTGGGGACCCCGGCTGCCATCGCCGGTTCCCATGATGCTAAACTCAGTCCAGAGCCACTGCAGACAGGAACGGCCCCCCTCGCAGTGCTTCGGCTGCGAGCAGGAGACCCGCCAGTGTCCCACTCAGCACTGAGTCATGACAGCAAGGGGAAGCGGCCCACGTGGCGGCAGAGCAGCAGCTCGCTGTTTATCTGGGTTCAGACTAAGTCGTCCATCATGGACTATATTAGTTGAACAATGCTATTTGTTTGCCTGTGTGTTTATACAGCCTATATTTATATCCATGGAGGGGCCCTAATTTGCACTTGAAAACTCAAGATCCTGATATTTAAGGAGGCTAGTTACCAGATCCAACAGTTCACTTTGATCTCATTTCTAACGTGTGTGTGTTTTTATCTGGAGGAGCCCCGCTCCTTCTTGGGTGAGATGTCTGTCATGTTATTCGCCATCAGAGCCCGAGCGACACATTTGACTTCCAAGACCCGTAAATCAGGAGTTCAGAGGCAGACCGTCTCACGCTCAGTGGACCGTCCTCGGGACCCTTTGCCAGGAGAGTGTAACAGACAAACTGCAGCGAATGAATGAGCCGCCGAAGGGGCCCCTTGCACATTGGGATTCAATCTGTGTGTCTTTGTGTTTGGATCCCATATTCTGCTCACGTCTCCCACACCTACACCCCCACTAAAGCACAGAGGAAGATGATGTCTGCGTCTTTCACCTTCACCTCTGTTTCCCTCCCCAAACCAAATACAGCAAAGCTCTGTCTTGAAATGGTCATTTTCTCAGTGGTTTTCAGTAGTGGAGCAAGTGGAGTTTCCTCACCTCACTGGGAGGTTAGTTAAATATATAGAATTTTTACATCTCAAAATCAAGACCACATTTTGTAGAAAACCCCAGACATCCTGTCTCAAACAGGACGTTACCATATGTCCCGCATTTCTCCCCAGATGTGGGTCTGCAAGAATTCGGCTGAAGACACAAAAGGCACGAGAGAACGTTTGTCATCAGAGTTGTGCAACTTTGGTCAAATTTGGTTTCTTTCTTCTTGCTGTAAAGCAGACAAAGTGAAGAGGCTGTTATTGTTTTAAAGACCAGCTTGTGTTTCCATCAAATTACTCTCGTCTCAAGATTTGTCTTATATACGATGGTTAAAATCTCTACACACATGTTAAATTGGTCACTGGGGGAAAATAAGTCACAGTATATTATTTGTATAGTATTATTGCTCAGCAATACCATAATAAAGATTTACCTCCTCTTGTTGTCTTGCGGTCTCAATCTACTCTCCCCGCTCTCATCCAATAAAATAAACACGTTGTTGTGGCCTTTGTGCAGGTCCTGCTATGCAACAAACAACGAATGAAGTTAGCGACAAAACAGTGGCGCATTTAGCAGCTAAAGAGCCTAACAGGAGCTGGTGGAGACCAAAAACAAAGGTAAAAACGCAGTACTTGACTTCAATGCATCGGGTGATCCTTTAAAAAAGTCCCTCAGAATCTGCTGGATTTGGAAAGAGGTAACTTGGTTTGACATATCATCATTAAAACCCCATCAATGTGTAATTCACATGTTTCCCCTACCACAGTGGCCTTTGTATATATATCCTTAATTAAAAACACAAGCACATGGAAGTAATGTGACATTTTTCTACCAAAAAAAAGAGATTTACGATTTAGAGAGTTACGTAAAAATAGTGCCTCTGTGTGTCTTTTAAGAGTAAATTCCTGCCATAAACGTCATACGTCACAGTCACGTTTTCACAGAGTTTTACAGGATTCAGACACATCATTTGAAGGTGATCACGCTCCATTGAGTGGCAGGTGATGAACAGAGATCATCAGGAATGAAGTGTTTCGGCATGTTTCTACGGTGCCTTGTCTCTTCCCGTTAGACGGCGCGGAGCTAATGCAATCTGCAAACGCGCCCTTCTGGCTTGAGTGCAGCACATGATACACGAGCACGCAGAAAACATGATCCCTACCAATAAGCACAGCGAGGCGTCCCCGACCATACATCACACGCGCGATGCGGCAGAAACCAACAGCAAACCGAGAAAATAAACTTGCCCTTTCCTGCAACCGTACGTTTATCTTTCCATCTTTCTATTATTAGGCTGCGGCCGAGCAGCCAGAGGACCTGGAATCTTCTGGAAGCATCTGTCATCTGAGTGTGTAAGTGGTGAACAGAACAAGAGATGCAGGATGTCTGGAAGGGACGGAGGCCAAAGCGTTTCTCTCCGACACGTGGAACTGATTTATTTGAGTAAGAAAGTACAATAAATGTACCGCAGTTTATCTCGGTGTCATCAGTGACAATGGAAACGTGTCTTGACGGAGCTCATTAGGGGTCCCGGTTTGATGAATGCGGCACACAATATGTTGAGATGAATTGCCATCTAGTTGCGAGTGGATATCTTTGTGCACGTTGCAACTCAATCCGCATACAAGCCACCAAAATATGGAATATATTGTAGATTCTTCTTATCTCTCCATCGCAGCTTCACTGTCGGATACACACAGACGCGCGCTTTAAAACTACACACGTGCCTTCACACCTTGACACAGTACGCACACATTTACACGCCGCTTTCAAACCCCACCTCTCCTACAGTGTCCTCCTAAGAAAATAACATGCAATTCATACACTGGGGGCTCAGTTTCAAGAAGCGCACACACACACACACACACAAGCACACATGTGCTCCGGGTGCACACAGGCCTCTGTGTGGTTGTGGCCATGTCCACTATGGACACATAGAGGAAATTCTTCCCTCCCAATTTCCCGGGACTGAACTGGGAGTGACCTGGTTGGCAGACACACAGCCCCGATGGAAGGAATGTAACTCAACTCCCCCCTCGTCCATCCAGCAGTCTGCTGGCCCAGCTGTGTGAGGACACCGAGAGAGAAACATCAGGCGCTGAAGAGGAAGTCTGTTTCACTTCTTACCAACTCACGAAACTCCTCACTAAACCAAATATTCAACTTGGTGGAATGTGTCCGTTGTGTGCAAACACGTATCCGCCATGTCATCGTGTCTCGTCAGTGGGCAACACATCATTTTTTTCCTTTTTGTCATGAAACTCAGAAAACACTTTGTGCACCACTAGACAACCTAGAGCGGAGCAACGAAAGGTGGGGGGAAAAAAGAAAAGATGGCCCTAGAAAAGTGGAGAAATAAATAAATAATAATACAACAAGAAAAACGAACACAAGAGAGATATTAATTATCACTGATCCTAAAACCAATAAACAACAATGGCAATAGTTACAGAAGTAACTTAGCCCTTAGCTCACAACAAAGCTAATGGTAAAACCTAATGTTGCACTTAAATTAAGTTTGAAGCCATTTAACTGCTCAAATAATCATCAAAGGGGGTGAATATGCCTGGAAGTATAGTTTTAATAAGAGATCATTAGGCACCATTACCTCCATCTGCAGGCAATTAGGTACGTGACTGATCCTGGCTGTTATGATTCATATTCATGAATTGCGTTACCCCCGAAATTCACGCTACGACGCTGCATCCCGATCAGGTATGATGGGAAATGTGTCACCATCCATCCATCCATCCATTGTCAAACCGCTTATCCTGCACACAGGGTTGCGGGGGGGCTGGAGTCCATCCCAGCCAACTTCGGGCGATAGACAGGGTACACCCTGGATTGGTCGCCAGCCAATCGCAGGGCGGGAAATGTGTCACTCGTAGAACAATCAGTGCAATTATCTTTCAGTGCAGCGATCATAGTTTACAGTTTGGTTCGGTAGAGGTTGAAGGCCGTTGGGTCGTGAGTCTTGAAACCCGGGTGGCTGCCGGCATTTTTGCAATTCTGGTTCCCTCGAC